ATGTTATCATTATTAATACTATCACTATTATTATATTATTATTATTATCACTATCATTATCTATGTTATCATTATCAATATTTATTGCTATTACTATTATTTTTTATTATTAATATTATCATCATCATCATCATTCTTCTTCTTGCTGTTGTCATTATTGCTATTATCATCATTATTGTTATCATCATTGTTGTCATTATCATTACTGCTATCATCATAACTGCAATTACTCTCATTGTCACTCCATCATTGCTATTACTATTCTACTCCCAGTCTTATCATCATCATTATCAATATTAGCATTATTTCCATTATCATCATGATCGCTATCATAATCACCGTACTTACCATCATCTTTATCATAATCCACTCTCGTCACATTTATATTCTGCAACATAAACACACTTTCGAACCAGCACATTTTTTTCTGTCAGTGGACACCTCATCAACTCTCTGATGAGGTAGAAAGTAGATCATAAATCAAGCCTGTTGCCAGATCTGGACCGCATCTCATTAAATGGGTCTGAGATGGTTTCCGTAGGCTTAAGAGTGGGACTGGATTCGATTTAATAAGGAAAAGTATAAGGTGGTTGGAATTCTCACGGTTTTGGGGTGGTGGTGGGAGGAGGGAGATGGATGGGGGGAAGGAGGGATGGGGGATGGGAGGAAGGAATGGATGGGAAGGTATGGGGGAAGAGAATAAGTGAGGGGAGAGAGAGAGAGAGACAGACAGATAGAGAGACAAAGAGAGAGAGAGAAACAGAGACAGACAGCCAGAAAAAGAGAAAGAAAAAAACAGATAGAGAGAGAGACAGACAGATAGACAGAGAGAAAAGGAAAAAGAAAAAACAGATAAAGATAGATAGACAGAGAGGGGAGAGAGAAAGAGAGAGTGTGTGAGAGAGGGGGGGTGGGAGAGAGAGAGAGAAAAAAAAAATCAGATATAGATAGAAAGAGTGAGAGAGAGACAGACAGACAGAGAGAGAGAGATGTAATTAGCCATACAAAGATATAGATAAATAGAGGTAGAGGGACAGACAAAGAGGACGTACAAAAGAACCAGACGTATGATATAAAAATAAATTCAAACCCTCAATCAATCAATCTCTCTCTCTTCTCTCTCTCTCTCTCTCTCTCTCTCTCTCTCTCTCTCTCTCTCTCTCTCTCTCTCTCTCTCTCTCTCTCTCTCTCTCTCTCTCCCTCTAGAAATGAATAGATAAATAAAATAAAATAATAAAATAAAAATAAAAATAAAAAATCCACAAAAAACAAGAATTTCCGTCGTGTGTTCATCGAATCAGACACGAAAGTCGGTCCCCGTGCATGCTCTGGTGTGGTTAGGAAATGAGCTTAATTACGAGATTTGAATATGAATATTAGTTGATGGAGGCCTTAATGAGCAGCTGATGGCGGTGTGAGCAACTCTGAGGGAGGGGGGAGGGGGGGGACGTGGGAGAGAGGGGAGAGAGGAAGAGAAATTTTTATTTTTGCGAAGTCGTGTGTCGTGCGAATTTGCTTCCGTAGGCTTCTTCTCCTTCTCTCCTTCCTTCCCTCTCCCTGCTCTTCCATCTCCCTTCTCACTTGGTATTTGCTTTATTCTCTCTTTGTTTCTGTAAATCTCTCTTTCTTTTGCTCTTGGTATTTCTTTCTGTCTCTCCTGATTTGTTTATCTCTCTCTCTCTCTCTCTCTTCTCTTCCCTTCTTCTCTTCTCTTCTCTTCTCTTCTCTTCTCTTCTCTTCTCTTCTCTTCTCTCTCTTCTCTCTCTCTCTTTTCTTTCTGTCTCTCTCTCTCTTTTCCTTTTCTCTCTCTCTCTCTCTCTCTCTTTCTTTCTCTCTCTCTCTCTCTCTCTCTTCTCTCTCTTCTCTCTCTCAAAAAGAAAGAAAGAATATATATATATATATATATATATATAATATATATATATATATATATATATATATTATATTATATATATATATATATATATATATATATATATACATATATATATATATTAATATATATATATATATATATATATGTATATATATATATATATATATATATATATATATATAATATATATATATGAAATGGAAAGAAAAAAGTGTGCTTTATCTAACAGTCCTGCATCTCCCCGTTAACAGAGAGCCAAAGAAACGGGCCGATGGATGTCAACAAATTTTCCTGGCGAGGCAAGACTTCCCCTCTGTCTCTCTCATTTGCATCGCCAGTCGCTTAAGTCGGAGCAGACGTTGCAGGAGAAGTAAATCAATTTGAACGACAAGACGATGACTTTGTCGTGGCGAGCGTGTGCACGGCGTCGACCGCAGGATCTGTACCGCAAGTCAGTTTCTGGGGGGGTGGGGGAGAGGGATGGGAAAGGGAAGGATTGAAGGGTGGGGTGTGTGGGTTGAAGGGTTGGGGAGGGGGGGGGAGAAAGGGGGAAGGAAGGATGGAAGGGTGGGGTGTGTGTGGGTTGGGGGTAGGAGGGGAGGGTGGATGGGAAGGGGGGGAGGG